TCATATTTTGCACATCTGTATTAAAGACTTTGTAGAACTTCACAGGTAAATCTTCAAAACCTTCACCCCAACAGAATATGCTTCTGCCTGTGAGTGAAGTAGACTTTGCTTTCAGCTGTAGCCCAGGGCTGTTTTGAGCTAGTATATCCATCACTACACTTGAGCATACAAGCAAGCTGGCATTTTCTAAAATGGCAAATACTAAACTCTTAGAGTTAGTAAAGCAAGCGCACTACAAACTTTGTATCACCACTACTAATACAACACCCCTTAAAGTCTGGAAAACAAATAAGAAATATAATATTACTGCTTGTTAACATGTAAACAATATTGGCCCCACGCAATGTTATAATTTTGAATCTTTAGAGTGACCTAGCACATCGTACAGACTATAAGGTTTCTATACTTCAAAATAAAGATGGACCATGGCAACACAGCTCTTGGTTCTGCACGTCTCAGAAACAGTGTGAGAACAGAAAGCTGCCAGATGCCCCAGTGAGACCCTTTGCTCCAGAGGGAGAGTGAGCAGGCACAACAGTTTGCCTACACCTCACATGTTGAGGGTAGATAGAATAATGCGTCTTGAGCAGTTTTGAGCACATCTTGTTGTTATTTTGTCCATCTTCTTCAGAGTAGTTCTTTCAGAGTACTTTAATAAAGAGCATTTGTATAGTATAAATACAAGGACACACAGAATATGCCATTGATGAGTGCCCAACAGTGTGTAAACTAGATTTTGCTCTTTTGCCTCATAGCAGAAAAGGTTTCTCAAAGGGTAGCCACAAAGTGACCAGCTCTGTGTTTTCCTCTCAAGAAAGACTTAGCTTTGTGGATTCATCTAATACTGTCAAGAAAAGACATCAAACTTTGGAAAGAAATATTTTAGGAATTTGGGAAAGCAAAATTAAAATAATTTCATAATCAAGTTTGATGCCTGAATTTTTTTAATGCTATGTCCTCCTTTTCTGTAATCATACCTGTGTGTTACCTGTGTGGAACCAGACCGCAATGTGTGCGCTTAATTTGCAAGTAACGTGGAAAATGCAAACAGATGGAGAGGCTACAATTCAGAACAGCACTAAGCTGAGCAAGTACTGGGAGGTTTCTTGCCTTCCCACAGCAGCCGGGGGAATTTGGCTCAGAATTAGAAGCCCAATTTAGGCTTTTCAATAGCAAGGGGGAATTGAAAATGTGAGCTGGGAAGTCAGTGGGAATGCAGGGAAGAGTGAAAGTCCAAGAAAAGCTGCAAGTTAATGAAGGTTAAGAATGCAATATGTAACCACAAATACATATGCTTTAAAAAGCATACCACAAATGCTTTATTTTAGGCCACAGGGAGCAGCCTAAATATATAACCCTGAATCACGGAGCTATAGCTGGGTCCTATGTATGCCTGACGCTCTGAGCAGCCCTGAGGATGTGGCTCCTCATATTTTGCTTACATCTCATGTTTGGCATCACAAGAAAGCTGCCAAACTGAACAAAACGGGGAACCTGCATCAGACATGATGTCATTACCATCCACACTCATGGTACCCCAGTCTCAGGTTAGTTTTAACACTGAGCAGTTCAGTATGGTGTAGATAAGCTCAAGCAAGCAGGCACATCTACATGGTGCAGAGCAGCAAGTGCTGATGGTGGCTGCCGAGCCGGCTGAACCTGGGGTGCACTGTGTCTGGACTGAGTGCCTGGTGCAGACCTGCTCCTGGAACCTCAAAGTGTAGTGGTAACTCTGGTTTGTGCTGGACTGCAGTGTAAACATAATCTGAGCAAGCTGTTGTAAACACAGAGGCTTACAGGTTCTAATTCTGATTGTAATCTGATTGTTTTCATGGTGATTTTCCTGATTTACTGCAATATTATTGAGACTAGAGTCAAACTCCAAAGGTACCTATGCCTATACAGTGTACAAAGGTACAGAATGCCTGTACAATTTTAAGCAGCCTGAAACAATAGGATATTGCATTTGTTTACATTTCCAAGTGATTTGTGTTTTACAGTTACGCTACTCGTTTCTTCATCTTATATTGTGCATCGTATTGCGCAACACTCAGAAACAGACAATCAGAAACAACATTTCCAAGGGATTATTTAATGAAGAATGGTTTGGATCACCTCTAAACAATTTGTACAAACTCTGTAATGAAGCAATCCCAGGATAAAGCAATGCTCAACTGGCATATAATCCACCTTGAGATTTTGTAAAATTAAGAGAGAGAAGGAAAAGATACATAGTTCCAGGTACGGTAAAGAGACAGAAACCCAGTGTGTGAAGCGTCTCCATGGAAAGCTGTGAAAGGAAGAGGTAAGGAAAGAAAATGGGACAAGGTCAAGTCCTTGAGACATTCCGGTTGCTGTTCACAAAGATTTATGAGCACCTTGCCAGTGTCCAAAAGAAAAGACAATGGCTGCCATAGTTAGAAGGAAAACCGAGAACTGAGTCTGCAAGCCCTTATTTAGGTAATTCCTAACACTTGTAAAAAATCTCTTAGGGGTTAAAGGGTTTTCTTCGAAAAGGGAGGACTGTGGCAGAGAGATAAAAATTTCCTCTCAAAGGGCAAATGAAGACTTTCCAGATTATGTAATGCCTCCTCCTTTATCAAACTTTTATGTCCACAGCAAGGACTCTTGTCCACATACATAAAGCACTTTTATTCAGTCACAGAGGTATTGATGTCCCCACAGAGTCTGCTAGCCCCCTGCATCTCGCATTCCTGTCAAATCAATCAGGATTTTTAACAGATTAGGCTGAATTCCTTTCCCTTAATCCCAAACCCACCCACTTCTGCCCCTTCAACTCCTTTTCTCTTCCATATCCTATATCAAGTAGGGTTTTCTGGGCCTCAGAAATAATTCATTTGAGGTGGCAGACATTTTCAGTGATTCAGTCTTCAATGCCCGACAAAACTAACTTTGACTCAGGAATTTGGGACTGGCTTCAGTAGGACCTGTGGCTGAATTAAGTCCCCAGAAGTGGGAAAAAAAGAAACATGCATTATCTAAGAGCAATTCTGAACTTCTATACTTCAAGAAACAAAAGAAGCTAGAAGAGTAAACAAAGAGGTAGGCAGGAGTGCAATTTGTGGAATATAAGAGACCAAGGGCCTGATCATCCATTGCCTGTATTTTGTACCACACTAATTCGTTGATGTGATAAAATGCTTCACTCAAGCAATGCTTGATTTTAAGGGACTAATCAAGGTCACATAGAATCAGAGGCTAGAAAACAGGGTGAACATTCATTGCACGCAGTTAAAATAATACTCAGGCTGTAAAAGATGCAATAGTAAGCCAAGACTGTAAATATCCCAGTTGTATACCATGTAGTACAGTGGGACCAGCTGGTACTACCACAATAGAACAACACATCTAAAACAGATTTTTCTTTCTTTCCCATCTGACAGCAACAGAACTCCTGAAGACCAAAGACAAGTGGAAAAAAAAAATAATGTTTTCTTACAGCATAAAAAAAAATAATATACCAGAACTTGTAATTCCTGGGCTTATGCCTTAAACTGTGAATCTGCCACTCATGATAGTGGAAATGTGCTCCTTCCTCTGTACTGCCTGCTGGCGGCCTGGAAGTAATCCTACTTGCAATATAACGCGGAGAAAAAATGTCAGCAGGATGCAAAGCGTACAGTGCACTGGACCCATGCTCACTCACTGAACAGATGAGAAACAGTGAGGTGGCTGCAGGACTACCTGCAGCAGAGGTAAGAAATCGCACATCATGTCACCTCTGGCAGCCCCATGCTGAGGTGTTCTTCCTCTTACCAATTGCAACCAGAGGTTGGCCAGCTTGAGGACACTATCTTTGTAAATTCAGACTTACATGGGAGCTGGAATGGAATCTGTTCTGTTTGCTCCAAAGTAAATGGCAATTTCTTACTCTGCAATACAACTAGTTTAAGTGCTGCATCAAAGAAAGGATTTAGGGACTTACTAACAAGAGCTGTAATGCCTGGGGTTTAGGCAGCTGATTATCACAGTGACCAGGAAAAACGCAAATTTACTTGCTGGCAATGACAAATGCCCAGGACTATAATCCAGAGCTCAGGTAACTGATCCAAGCTAGTCCTTACCACCCAGATCCAGTGCCCAGAATACTCTTTGCAGGGAGAAGGCCATGTCTCTTCTTTGACATGTGACTGATGAAGGAAGGAAGGGTGGTTGTCAGGGTGGGACAGGCCACTTTACCACAGTTGAGTGGTTACAGCATGTGAAATTTGGTTTCAACCTTCTGATGGTGATAGAGAGATCAAACTGCCTCATCTCTCTCCAAGCTTGCCTTAACCTTTATGCCATAGGGATGGAACTCTCTTAGCTCCTCTTTGAAGCTGGGCCATGTGCTGGGCTGGACTGCAGGATTGTTCCAGTTCACCCTAGAGCTAGGGCTCGAAGACAGAAGGTCACTTTTTCTGCACTGCTTGGAAAAAGTGGTTTTGACACCTTTGTCACTTGGCAATGGCAGGATGAAGCACAGCATGCTCTGAGGCACACAGATAGAGATGGCTGATGTTAGTCTGAGCGAAAGGTAGTACCGCTGACTGGAGGAGCCTGGGACACTGACAGCAGCCAGGATTACATTTCTCAGCAAAAGACAGAAGCAGTAGCAGCCTGGCCAGGCCTGGGTTCACACCCTGAGCTGGGCTGACTCCCAGCATCTAATTTTGTCTAATCCCTAAATACTACCAAAACACCTTCTATTCTTCTCATGACGTGACTGTAGAGAATCTGAAATAAATGTTGTATTTTTAATTTTTGCTTGTACAGCAAAACCGACGACAACAAAGCGATAGCGTTTTGATTTCCCGGGGAACAGTTTCCTTGATGCCTGGGGGGTTTGCAGCCCCGGTTCCCCCCAGGGCGCCGGAAAAGCCGGGGAGGCTTGGGGCGCCGCACCCGCAAGCCCCTCGCCAGCCCCCCCGGGGCGGCCGGAGGTGCCCGATTTAAGAGCGAAAAAGCGCCGTGAGCGGGAGAGCGGCGAGCGCAGGGCGATGCCGGAGGGCAGCGGGGCCGGCCGGGGTGCGAGCTGCCCGGCGCTTCCCTGCCTCCTCCCCCCCCACCCCGAGCTGGTGTCAGGTATTGCGAGGAGGGGTAGGGGCCCGGGGAGGAGATGGCTGGAGGCTTTCCAGCCCCCACTCACGCC